TCTGAATAGAGGGGTGTTTATGGTCAAAACAGTGCTTAGGTAAGAAATCTTCTGAAATCACTAGAGAAAGGTAGGTGGGAGGTGATGGTCATTTCTAGAAGAAGGAACATACCCATAAACAGAAGCAGTGGAATTTTGACCAGATGCCACCAAATCTTTTCCTTTCCACCCTTACTCACTCCTACTTATCCCCTCTGACAAAAAGTAGTGAAAGGGTTAACGCCAACGCTACCTATCCTTCAAGTGCCACCTCCTCCATTAAGTCCATCCAAGCTACTCAAGAACTAATGGATATCTGTTTGAACTCTACCAATTTATCAGTCTGTGACAAAATATCATTGCTTACATATATCTTACATACATAATAAGTAACGTATATCTTATCTTGTGCTGTACAATTTTGTTAAGGCCAGTCATCTCATCTCCTCAATTTGAATACAAACTCTTAGAAGGTTAGGACCTTGTCTTAAGCAACTTTGGCATCCCTCATGGTAACTAGCACAATGATGAAACACAGTAGAGACTAATTGACTTGCTTAAAAGACATTGATTCACAAGTACTTAATCATTTCTTTATATTATTCTTGTGGGAATCTTTTCTTTCCCCAAGTGGGCTGAAAGCTCTTTGAGGGTGAAGATCATATCCTAGGGTTATGAATGACATAATTATTCCCTAATTGCTAAATAGATGAGTTCTCTGACCTTCAGAATAACATTTCTCATGCATGTTCCAATTCAAAGGTTAAAAGTGGAGGAATCAGTCAGAAGGAAACTCCAGGTGAATGAAATAATATCTAATATAAGACGGTTGGCCTCCTTCTTTCTAAAAGATGACAGCTCAAAAAAAAGAGGTTCCTGGCTGGCAGGCTGCACACTAGCTGAGGTTAGTAGAGAATAATTACAAAGGGAAGATCTTCAGCAATGAAGGGAAAGCTGCCTTGAGGTAACAGATTTCATTTTATTATGCCCTTTGAAACATCACCTTCCACCTTGCCTACTTTAATGATTATTCTGTGAAAAACAAAACCAAGAGGGGAAAATGTATGCAAAATGAGAGGCTAGATACGGCCCACAGGGAAGCGATACAGGTTTTAAGGAGAGGTTTTAGAGAGGTAAAATAGTGAGTAATTTATTCCTACTAGGGGAAGAAATCAATGTGGCTGCACAGAGAGCTCTCTAAAAGGTCAGATTTTACAAGGACATATGATGTCTCATTATGAGGATGCTAACCTCAACAGCCCAAGAGCTTATCACGAATGAGGAAACTGAAGTACAGAGAAACTAAATGACTTGTGCACAGTTACACAGTCACTAACTGCCAGTCTGGCATTCATAAAGCCAGGACTCCTGACTCTAAGTCCACTTCACTCTCACGCTATAATGCTGCTTCTAGGCATGTAGCTAGATCAGAGAGATGACATATGTACAATGTATCTTGATTTTAATAAGGTGTATGATAAACTATCTCATGACAGCCTTGCAAAGATCTTAGAGAAATGTGGGCTGGATGATAGGACAGTTAAATGGATACTAACTAATCAAACAACCATACCCAAAAAGGGTTGGTTAATGGCTTGATGTTAATCTTGGGGGGTGGGGGGGGGGAGTTCTAGCAATATCCTACAGGCACCTGCTTGATCCTCATCAAGCAGACATTTATACACCACATAAATGAAGACATATCAAATCTAGTGATGACACAAAACTGGGACAGCTAATGCAAGCAAAGAGAAGAGTCAAGATTCAAAGGTGAAACTTAATATAAATAAATGTAAAATCAGAGGCTATGATTTTAAAAATAAATTGTCTAAGTACATGATGGAGTTGAGCTGGTTTGCCACAAACTGAATATGTGTGAGAAAAACAATTTGCTGAAAAATACAAATTTAGGCTACATCAATAGAAGTACAAAGGGAATAAGTGTATTGTTTGTCAGATCACATTAGGAATACTGCTGTTCAGTGAATGTGGGGTGCCACATTTTACAAGGGGCACTGACAAAAGAGAAATATGAATAGGATGGTGAGAGGATTGAAAACTAAGTCCTACGAATAACTAAAGGAAGGAGAAATGTTAAATGGTAGCTTCCTCAGGGTTGTACACAGGATAATTATTAGTATTAGAACAGACTGCAAACCCTAAAGCTTTACTAAATCACTAAATGTATGTTATCTTCAGGCTGATTATGAGAAACTGCCTATTATTATTGTGAGAAACTGCCTACTATTATTCATGGTACTCCCTGTCCCTAAAGCACCTGAGGGTTCTGAATGTGCACTCTAAGGCTAAGTTTTCTGAAAGAACCATTCTGAGTGCAGAAGGGATTATCTACAAGCTCAGCCACGGACCAATTAGTGCCTCCAAACTTCAAAGCTGATTAAAAAAAGAGAGAGAGACTCTGCTGATACATGGAGCCTTTTGTATATATAAGCAAGAGCCATCCAGTCTCAAATTTCAGTGCTGCTCAAGACTTACCCTGTAATCCTCACACAGATCCTGGTATTTGTCATATCGTGTTAACAGCAATCACAGGGCCAAGAACTCTACAGAATTGTAAGAGCGTGCTCTTCACTTGAAAGTACCAAAGGGAGCCCTGGCAGCTTTTGCCTTCCCTGCATTAGTTGTTAGTCAGAGATGCTTTCACTTTTAATGATGCAGAGATAACATTTACCACACTTACCATCCATTTAGAGGATCTTTGCAGCTAAATATTAGGGTACGAATGAGAGAGGCCTATCACCTCTCCAGTCCTTGCAATTAATTCCTCAAACCTAAGTGATTCAGCTAAGTAGAAATTCTGTCAGGGCTGCTTTTCTAAAGAGAGTGAATTGATAAGAAAACAACGAGAATAATTACATTTCTGGTACTTATTTTACAAGAGTAGGTCTAGGTAATTCAACACAAGCCCCTAGGGCAGGTGTGGGGAACCTGCGGTTGGGAGGCCTAGAGGGCCTCGAGGCCACAGGTTCCCCACCCCTGACCTAAAGCTTTTACTTTCAGTAAACTGAGAAACTACAGGAAAATATGTACCAATACTCAACAAAGAAACTCCAAAAGCCAAATAGGGTTCTCAAAGCAAGAACGTTCAATGGAAAGAAGGAAAAAATGAACAGAAAATTTACCTCAGTCAACATTCAAAAAAATTTTCAAAAGCATCTCTAGGCCTGTACATAAATTTAAGTTCACACTAATAAATATTTTCAAAAATCACTCTTTAAAATTATATGAACTGGGGGCAACTAGGTGGCGCAGGGGATAGAGCACCGGCCCTGGATTCAGGAGGACCTGAGTTCAAATCTGGCCTCAGACACATAACACTTACTAGCTGTGTGACCCTGGGCAAGTCACTTAACCCCACTGCCTGGCCCCCTCCCAAAAAAAAAAATTACATGAACTGAAATAAATTTTATCTCTTTCCTTATTTTAATTTTCTTAATCAGCTAGAAAAATACTTTTTTACTTCACAGCAGATTTTGTTCAATGTCACATTAGCAAGCAGGTAGGATTTTTTTTAAAGTCACTTTCAATGAGGGAAAAAATACACTCCTAGAAAGCCAACATGGCAGAACTGTTCTTTCTGACAGGTTACACTTTTCTAGCCCTGACTTTTGCCACCATCATGACAAATAGCAAGGATATTCTATTATTCACTTCTCCAGACTTGCTAAATAGTTTGGGTAAGAATGTGTCAGACATTTGATAAAAGCTAGAGGCTTTTCCAGAGGAATTGCCAAGGGTAAGGAGAGAGAGAGAAAGAAAAAGGCATCAACATTTTTTTAAAAAGTCTAATTTATATAAAAACTGGGGAGATGCCTTCATGTTATTGTTATGCTCATATCTTATGCAAAACTAAAAAATGCACACCCCAAATGTACCAACCTATAAAAATATCTGACCAGTAAAGATGTAAAGAGTAATAATTTATATTTTTTATCACTTGCCTTTAATCCAGAGCTTAAGAGAGACTGATACAAGCATACAACCCATGTCCTCCACATTGGAGATATATTTCTAACCACAACTAACCCTCAGTAGGAATGTAAAACATGACATACTGCTGCTCTGAGAACCTGCCATTTAGAGGGGCAGGATGGTGCAATGGAAAAAGCTTGAGGCTTAGACAGAAGAACTGGGTTTGAATTTTATCTCTGACAGTTACATTTATACAACTACAGGCAACTCACTTATCTGATCTGAGCCTCAGTTTTCTCATCTGTAAAATCAGAGGATTGGACTAGAATTCAGGGTTGAGGCCCTCTAGGTCCTCAAGTGAGGCCCTCTAGGTCCTCAAGTGAGGCCCTTTGATTGAATCCAAACTTCACAGAACAAATCCCCTAATAAAAAGATCTGTTCTGTAAAACTTCAGTCAAAAGGCCACACCCATGTAGTCACTAGCTGATCTCTAAGGTGCTTTCCAGCTAAAAATCTATAATCTTATGAAGTCTCATTTGATAGACTGCCAAATCACATTACACTTCCCCATATCTTCTTGTTCAGAAGACTATTTCATCAGATTAATATATTTTTATGAAGACAAATACATAGGTCATAGCAAACAAGCAAATGATAAAAACTTAAAACAAATACACATGAGAGTCCATTCTATTCAGCCATAAGCAAAAGAAGTATTCTATTCAGTAAAAAAAAAAAAAAAAAAAAAAAAATTAGTTTCAGCTGTCATTTCCTCCCCAAAAGCCAGAACTGAGATAAATGTAAAAATATACCCAGTATATCCTTAATAAAGGCTTTGGTCTAGAATATAAGCCTTGTGACCCTTTCCAAAGCAGGACCCACCTTCACACTAACTGAGGCTCTCTTCTGGAATAACCACAATAACAGGAAACACTTGGGGTTAACATAATTTAAATTAAAGAAACACTTTTTCTTTATACTAGAAAATATATAAGATATAATTTTTGTTCTTTCTATATAATTAAAGAAATAAATAGAGAGTGCTCTGAACCAAACATCACCTGAAGAACATATAAGGGAGAACTTACAAATATATCGGTTACTGTCTTGATGGACTTTTCTTTTCTTTGCAGGAAGTCATCATCCTGTAAGATAATTGACAGTTAATAAACACATGCAAAGTGATGATTAAAATTCAACTGACAAATTAGCTTAGAAAACTGCCTGGGTTCCCAATTACTCATTTGAAAAAGGAAGCCTATTTCCCACGGCAATTAAAAATGTCATGGGAAAAGGCTAGTTTATACAAGCATGCTCTCAAACCAGGTAAGTCACCCAGGGAAGTATGTGCTTAAGATAGGTAGTCATATCTACCAAGCACCTATCTACCTTAAAAGTTCTTCCAGTTTCCATGTTCTTAGCTGAAAATCTGGGCCCCAGTCTACCTTTCCACTTGCAATCACCTAAAACCTACTCCTAAACTCAGCAACAACCTCTAGGGTAGAAGTTTTTAACCTTTTGGGTGTGATAGACCCTTAGTGAAGCCTGTGATTATTTGTGATTATTTTTATTTTAATCCCTTCTCAGAATAGTTTTTAAATGCATGAAATAAAGTACATAGGATTACAAAGGAAACCCCAAATTCACAGACTCCCTAAAATTCAGCTGTACACCTTAGGTCAAGAACCACTAATTTAACTATAATCAGGGGGAGTCTTTCACCTGGAGGTCTTGTGTTATGAGAGATACCTGTGGATACAGACTTGACCCCACCTCCTCACTCTACTTACCCCCAAACGTACCAAACAGGCATTAGAAAATGGGGAAAGAAGAAGGCCTTTGTCCTAGGATCAGGATCCTAAAATCTTTTTGCTGTTCTTGTTGGCCCTCTTACCTCTACATCTTGTCTGCCTAGACTTATTTTCCTCCTCCCTTACCTTGGCTGTTTTGTTTTGTCACAAAGACTTGGGTCCAAATCTCATCTACTATAAGACACTAGCTGTGTAATCCTGGGCAAATCATTTACCTCTTTGGCCTAAGTTTCCTCATCTATAAAATGAGAGGGTTCTTGAACCAACATTCTCAAAGATCCTTCCTAGCTTTAAACTCATGATCCTATGATCCTAGACATATTCCACCTGTCTGACCCCTCTACTGACTTGCCTGTACTTGACTGCTTTCCTGCTTAGTCCTTTGGAACATGCGAGATCCCCTCTAGGACAAAGGTCCTGACCCTTCCTGATGAATCCGGGCATGGCAGCTGTACTCTATCTGGAGTGAGGATGTTCACAAGAGGGAGGTATGATGCTCTTCAGCTTTCCAACCTTTTCCTCCATCAACACTATCCTCTCCTTCCTTCCCCAGACACAAGGCTTCAGGTAAGACCCAGAGCATCTGTCACAAAATAATCAGCAAACCCTTAGCCTACATGTCTACTCAACCCTCAATGCCTGTCAAGAATTCTGAACCCAAAGAAGTACAAAAAGACCCAATTTTGGCACTGAAGACTGGATAGTTTGGGGAAAAGATGTTGAACACCATATACCTCTAATTTATCTAATGTATATATAGTTTCTATCTAAGATCCACGCAAAGTAGAGAGCTGGAGAAGGCCCCGATAATAGTACTTTAAGCAAGTATTCACTAAATGTTACTGAGCATCCCTTTTCCCCCTTTTCTACCTGTTTCCCTGCCTCCTTCAGGAGGCTATAATTTCAACATAAAAGGAGGTGGAAGACACTGACCTCAGGGAGACTATAGGTTTTCTGAAACTGAGATATGGAGTAGGAACGGATGTAGTCACCCATTTCTTCTCTGGTTTCTATGGCACGTTTCACCAACCACTAATAAGGAAAAATAGTGTCAAATGTGTTAACACAGTTAAAATCTCATTGCAACAGTTACCATTATAAAGAATGCTTCTATATAATAATGTTATTTCCATATTCTTGAAGTTGATCCCCAATAACAGAATTTTGTTAACCCAGTTACAGTTAATTCACTACAACAAAGTTTTGTTGTAGGGAATCTGGGATCTGAGCTCTAGCCCTTAGACTAGATTAGCTCTATGATTATGGGCAAGTCATTCCATCCCATCTGTCTGGGTTTGAGAAAGTTGCCCGGGGTCCTGTTGCCAGAATGTACCAGAGGCGGGGCTTCAGAAACCTAGATCTTCTTTCCAAGGCCAGCTTTCCACCTACTATGACATGATGCTGCCTCTCAGTCACATCAATATATTACACAATAGATAAAACGATTCAGGAACTTGCAAGATGAAAAGGGGGACAGAGAGAATGTGCCAATTTTCTCTCTCACCACCCTCACAGAGTTTAAAGCACTCCTTTTCACTTGCTAATTCACTGAAAAAGACGCTGAGCACCGGCTCTATTTCATCTCTTGTCTTCTGTCTGACAGGAAACAAGATTTTTAGCAGTGTACCTATCAAAACAACATTTCACTACAATAAAACAATTTGGACATTCCATGATATTCACTAAGATGAGTTCTCTTACACTGAATGTCTGTGCAAAGATTTTCTGAGACACTGAAGAACTTAATTCTGTAAAATATTATAAACTATATGCCTTTCACACTAAAGTCTATTAGACGATGAAACTCAAAACATTCACTTACTCTCGCCTGATTCTCTAGCACATATGCAGGTAACAAACTTGGTTGCTATTTCCCTTACGAAAATATTACAATTTAACATCTTCACATCTGAGTGGGAAGACAGGGAGCTGGTCATACACCAATCTTTACTATCACTTTTAAATGGGAGGAGCTACAATTTGTATCTCACCCTTTCCTAATCTTAAATTACAGAGATTACTGGTGAGGGTCACTCAAACACAAAAAATTCAAGCTTTTGGCCAGCACCTGACAGTGAATACACAGAGAACTGTGACCATCATATCTCACTTTTGGAGATATGTTGGGATTCCCAGGAATAAGTAAGCCCTTCCCTGCTCAGGAACTTTACCCTCAGCTTTCACTGTCCTTTCCCTGACTTCAAAGACTAGGGAAAATGAAATGTTAGCACATGCTCATAAAAAAGGCTTGAAATCTCTATTCTAGGCTAGGTTCACCTGGTATTATGCAGAGGAAAGTACACAGAATTAGAAGACCCAGGTTCTGGTCTCAGCTATGAGACTTACTACCTGTGTGGCCTCAGGCAAGTCAATTAACCTCTCTGGGCCTCAGGGTCCTCATCTGTAAAAGGAAGAAAATGCTGCTTGACCTACACACCCACCTCATAGGATTGCAGCAAAAATCACATAGGTAAAGCATAGTAGACACCTTATGGTACTACATAAAAGTCAATTGTTATTATTACATCTGGATTATATATACAGAGCATTTGAAGAGAGCCCCTGAAATGTCTTTTGAAGAATACAGGCTCATGAACAATAACAGAAAAACACAGATATTGTGGGGCGGCCAGAAATACATTTGCATGCTACTTACATCTCCACAAAAGACCAGAGAAAATTATCATATATTCTCTCATCAACATAAGTGTCAGCATTTAGCTTTCCTCAGGAAAAAAAAATGACCCTTTATTTAATGTCATATGTTAAAGAGATGCATTTTTTTATAAAAGCATTTCCCTGTGAATATGCTTCTTAGTAAGAACCTCAGCTGGTTGTGTCAATATCCAGATTTATTTATGTTAGAGAAACTGGAAGAAAAAACAAACAGCATAGGAAGAAGTGGCCTAAGGAGCCAGTAGATTTTAAGTTACCTGAGGACAGGAACTGTTTTGCCTTTCTTTATAACCCTAGTGCTTAGCACTGAGCCTGGCACATACTAAGTCCTTAAGAAATGCTTATTGGCTTCTCTTTGGGACCCCCTTGAGGCAGGGATAGCTCTACACCCCTTGCCAGCAGGAAGCAGTTTCAGAAGCTGAGACCTTCGCCCCTTACTCCAAAAGAATTTGGGTCCCATTTGTTTGAGGGGGGAATGATGGGGTTGGGATCTGGGCCCCAGAAAGGAAAAACCCTGGACTTTCCCACATGGCTAAATCTCTGGGGTTCCCCTGAGGCTATAATCCCATCAACTGCCCTTTCATTGTGGACCTCCCTATGGCCCCAGGCCATTTCTCCATTCTCCCTGGCCTTGTGGTCCAGGTCCCTGGAATTCTATTACCTCATAGACTACTTGGCCACTCCAAGATCCCTCCCACAGTTTTTCTGTATATAAGGTCCATCTTGTCTCCATCAAGGGGCTTAAATTCTTAAAATCTAGCCACTGCTTAGATTCTTATAATCTAGCCACTGGTCAGATTCTTATAATCTAGTCAATAGCTTACTAACATTCAGACGCCTTAAGAGTCTGCCCAATATGACAGATGTTCTAATAAACCGTGTCTTTGGCTGAAAAAAAAAAAAAGAAATCCTTGTTGGAAGGTTGAACTGTTTACATTCCTACATGGAAAGATAATATTTGTAACTCATGAGACCTTTGTCAGTATTAGGGTAGTTGGAGGGAAAAAGAAAATATGTATGTACATATATGGATAGATAGATAGATAGAGGGCACAGGGTGAGTTGAAGATGAAGGGGTGATATCTAGAGAATAAAATTAAGGGGTGAGAGGGGATTATACTGGGAGAAGGAAAGAGGGAGAGGTAGAATGGTGTAAATGATCTCAAAACAGACAACAAAAGGCTTTTACAGTGTAGGGGAAGTGGGGGAAGGTGAGAGGGAATGAGTGAATCTTATTCTCACCAGATTTGGCTTAAAGAGGGAATAACATACACACTCAATTGGGTATAGAAAACTATCTTACCCTACAGGAAAATAGAGGGGAAGGGGATGGGGGGGAGGGATGATAGAGGGGAGGGCAGATTAGGAGAGGGGGTAACAGAAGCAAACACTCTGAGGAGTGACAGGGTCAAAAGAGAGAAAAGAATAAATGGGGGATGAAGGGAAATATGAAGGGAATTATAGGATGTTTGGATAGGATGAAGGGAAATATAGTTAGTTTTCCACAGCATGACTACTATGGGAAGTGTTTTGCATGACTACACAAGTATAACCTGTATCAAGTTGCTTGCCTTCTCAATGAGGGTGGGTGGGGAGGGAGGAAGGGAGAGAATTTGGAACTCAAAGTTTTAAAAACAAATGTTAAAAAATTGTTTTCACATGCAACTGGGAAATAAGATATACAGGCAATGGGGTATAGAAATCTACCCTGCCCTACAGGAAAATAGAAGAGGAAGGGGATAAGAGAAGGGGGGGGTGGAGATAGAAGGGAGGGCAGATTAGGGGAAAGGGTATTCAGAATGCACGCAGTCTTGGGGTGGGGGGAGGGACGAGATAGGGAGAAATTTTGGAACTCAAAATCTTGTGGAAGTTAATGTTGAAAACTAAAATAAATAAATTAATGAATCTTAAAAAAAAACAAAGGAAAAAGGAAAAAAATGTTTGTTAGCTTGATTTGAAACAGGAGTTTCCAAATTCCTAAAAGTCACATACCCTGTTTTGTTACAAACAACAGCAAAACTGCAAAATTCTGATCCATCAAAAGAGTTTTAATGATTCAAAGAAGCAAGTAAGCACAAGTTACAAGGGACTGTGGTCAATGACCCAATACACTGTTTGTCAGGAAGAGGGAGGGAATAATAATAAAAAATATATAAGTTCTGGGATAGTGCTATGAATAAATGCTAGGGGTTTATAACAGAATTTCTCCTTCCTTTTCAGGTTGCTCCTTATTTGAGTGACAATTTAAAAAATATAATAAATTTTCTGCCTATAAAAGCAAATGAGATAATATATACAAACCATGTTGCACACCATTAAAGAGAAATAGAAATGCTTGCTGCTCCTACTATACTATTATTACTATGACTATAGGCAGCAACACTTGTAGTATATTATATTGGCATTAGAGCGCATTTTAAATTGCTGAGCCTTATGGCTGAACAGGGCAGTAGAGACCATTCATTCCAACCCCCTGACTTTATAGATAAGAAAATAGAGGTGGAGAGGAAATGATTTGCTCAGGGTCAAACAGAGCAATAAACAATTTGTAACCTACACTGGCTCTAAGGCCAACACTAGATGCACTGATCTGATCAAAGAAATTACTGGAAACTCCTCAAGTCAATCCTAACCAGTAGCTCCTGTAAAGAATAAGACCCGTCGTCCAAGTGAGCTCCCCCTTTGATTCAGGTCTTGAAGTGGTTCCTGTTCTACGCTGGGGCCCACCAGTTTCTCATACTTAAAAACTTTAAGCTGTAGAACACACACACACACACACACACACACACACACACACACACACAACAAAATCATTCCCTCACAAACATTTATTAGAAACCATTTATGTGAAAGGTCCTGTGCTACTATTTGATTGAAGGAAAAATGGAAAGATATGTAAAACTTAGTTTCTGTAGAATCTAAGAGTGTCTGCCCACCGTACACATACAGAATTGCATGGGCCTTCACTTAGCCCTCCTTCCTCATCCTTGGTAAGTCAGGAGGACCTGAGTTCAAATCTGGCCTCAGATCAAACATTTGAGACTTACTAGCTGGGCAAGTCACTTAACCCCAACTGCCTAAAAATTAAAAAAAAAATAAAAGAAGTTATCACTCTTCCATTCCAGCCTATCAGTACCCTGATACCACTATACCAGTTTGAATCATTAAAACTCTGTTGATGGATCAGAATTTTGCAGTTTTGCTGTTGTTTGTAACAAAACAGGGTCTGTGACTTTTAGGAATTTGGAAACTCCAACAAACATTTTTTTCCTTTTTCCTTTGTTTTTTTTTTAAGATTCATTAATTTATTTATTTTAGTTTTCAACATTAACTTCCACAAGATTTTGAGTTCCAAATTTCTCTATTTCTCCCTGAGATTCTTCCCACACTTTTCAAAAAACATAACTCCTTTCCATTTGCCAATCCCAATCCCTTCTTCCTTCAAAATGAAGTCAAAGTCCACCAGCCCCAGAAAGCTCTCTTGGATCATAAGACACGCTGAACACATCAGCAGAAAGCTTAACACCTCTACTTTGACTTTTTGTAAGACTACAGATTCCTTTAAGACAAAGAAAAACTCTGACCTAGACAATACTCCTTAAGTGGCTATTATAGTGTTTTGTACCCTTGCAGCATTCAAAATTGGAACATTGGGCTCACATCATCCTTTTCATCAATAAAAACCAACATGTACCAAACACTTTGACCAGGAACACCCAGAGAATGCCAAAATACATAAAAGGTCCTTCAGTTACTAGGCTGTTTGCAGTAACTTTTTAAGTTGACATCAAGGATCACAGTCATGACATCCTGAAACAAGACCTTTAGTGCCTCCATCAGATACTGAATCCTGGGCCCAGTGGACCATGATTCTGACTCAGGAAGCACAGTAGCTAGACAGCCAGCTTCAAAGTCATGAAAACCTGGGTTGCAGTCCTACCTCTGACACATACTGGCTGAGTGACCCTGGACAAGTCACTTAAATTCATGCTCTCAACAACTCTCTATGATTATATAGAACTCTGGGAATTATAGTACCCCAAGTGTACCAGTCCTGCTGACAGCCCAGCTCCCACAGACATCATTCACAACCCTTACGTAGAAAAGGCCAGCCATCTCTACCAACTGTCACCCACAGGGCAGGAAAACCAGCTTAGCTGAAGCAGCAAGGCACCCTGAGAGAGAGAGGATTTATCTACCAGACAAATCAAACCACTGCCATCACCCTGCTCCCCCTCACCTAGAGGGAGATAGCCCAGGACCCTAATCACAAGAGCCCTTGGAAGAGCAGTGCATCCAGATCACCAGCCCTGCTCTCAGTCCAGTCCCCACTTCCATCATCCCAGGAAACACGGATCCTTGTGGAGATGTGACCTGGCTTCATCAGATGCTGGAGCTTCCAGTGGAAAAGAAAGTCATTGCCATCAAAGTCCTTGGCATGGTCAAATGAGTCAACATTAAAAAAGAATATGGTTAAATGTTTGAAATAACATTAAAGAAGACACATTACCATCTGCCTTGCTGCTGTGCCCTAAGGACTATGGGGCCTTTTCATTTGACTTGAAGCTGAAACCTCCTGTATGTACTGTCTTCCCCTTCCAGGATCTGAACTCTTTGAGAACAGGCACAGACTTGCTTTTCTTATCTGTGTCCTCAGTGTCCAGTACAGTTTACTACATGGTAAATGTTTAATAAATGCTTTCTCATTTCATTCATTAATTCATTCATTCACACACTCATTCCTAAGTTACAGGTGCTAACCTGCACTGGTATAGGGAGGTTTCTAGGGTCCAGTTCCTACCTCCCTCCCCTAATGTACAAGAAGGCTCCTACCTGAACAACAGGAAATATATGAATGAAATCCAGCCCCTGGATCTGATGGGGCTCCAGGCGATGTGGGCACTTCATCCTTGGCAGGACAGACACAATTTTTTCTGTCAGGGCACTGTTCAAAGAAAAAAACCAACAAAAAGTTAAAGATGCAACAAGTAGCCTTTGAAAAATCTCTGAAGAACAATTTCTGAATAATATCCACAGTGGATAGGAGAGAATGAACTTCACAGTGGGATTATTTGGAATTAGTTATGGGAAGAATATACTGGCACAGTCATGAGACAATGAGAACCAAAGGAAATCCCGGCATCTCTTAATTGTGAATCTTTTCCAGACATGAGTGACAGGAGAGGGATAGACAGTCATCTTCTATTTGAGATAGATGTATGTTAAGATAGACATAGATATCTGCATATGTACATATATTTGCATGTAAATATATGCATTTCTTTCTTCAATAATTTAAAGGCAGCTTGCTTGAAAGAGATGTTCTCCAGAACTAGAAGTTCTAGGTTCCAGTGACTAGACATCAGTCTTTAACAACTGAATGTGTGCTTCTTTAACACTCTACGTAGAGTAGATTTGGGGGGGTGGGGCAGGGAAGGGGTGTTTGGGTTAGTTATTTTTGGGTTTGTTTGGTTTTTTTTTTGATTAAAAGATGCATTTCAGTTCCGTAAGAGGAAAGCTCCCTCTAGTGTCTGCAGGTTTCTTAGTTTGACAAAGATAACCACATGGAATAATATATCATTTATTCTGCAACTTCAGAGGAAAACAAAAAAAAAATTTAATTAAAAACAAACAAACAAGGAGCTGGGAATTCCTGGTCATTTCCTGGCCTTCAAGCAGTCTTTGCCCAGACTCCTCTGAGAGGTAATGCATTTGCCTGGTTCTCTAAAGTACCAGGAACAGATAGTTCACACCTTCCCAAAGTTTGCTGACTCTTTTACACTGTCTTTCTCTGAAATCCTATATTTTTCTTCTATAACTAATGTTCTTAGCACTTTATTAACATTACTATTTAGTAACTTAGCACTCAGGAATAGATGAGGTTCTGGGCTGGAAGGAAGAAACTGAAGAAATTTAGAGTTGGAAAGGACCTGGGAAGACATCTTGTCTAACTAATAACCTCAGCAAGAAGCTACTCTTGCAGGATTTGACAAGTGGAGACCTTTGCTTGAAGATTCCAAATGAAGGGAAACCAAATACCTCCAAAGGCAGCTCATTTCACTTGTAGGTAGCTCTAATTGTTAGGAATTTTTTCCTTAACCCAAACCTAAATTTCCTTTTCTATAATTTCCCGCATGATTCCTTCTGCAATTTAGGACAAAGCAGAATAAACCTAATTCAGCTTCCATATGAGATCCTTCCAAATACCTGAAGACAGCTCTTCCCTAACCTAACCCCTTCGTTTCACAAATTAGGAAAATGAGGCCCAAAGAAATGATTTGTCCACAACCAAATGGTAAAGCTGGGATGAGAAACTAAGACTCCTGACTTCTATCAGGTGAACACCAACAAGTGAGCATTACTGGAGAGGTCCTTATGTCCCCAAGTAGCAATACCACCAACAAATTGTTTCATTCTTTTGCAAGCCTGAAAGAGCAAAAGCCCAATCAAAAGAAACACAGACCCACAGATAGGAAATAGTTAGGAGGCAAGAGGGAGGGGAGGGTTATTGTGGAAGATGGAAGCCCACTTGGGATCAGTGAGTCCAGAAGGAAATGTTTAATATCAGGGTCATTCTGTCTATCACCACACAAAATAAGCTACTTGCTAACTTCTCACCACCAAACTGACAAGTGTTTTTACTGAGTGCCTACTACATACATGGCACCATGCTAGTCCCTGTATTTAAAGGGGATTCTTACATCAGTGGGAATGAGCTCAAGGATTTCCAATTGAATTGTAGATGCTTAATAAATGCTGACTGAATGAATATTAGCTTAAGCAGTATGTAATTAGGAAGGTAAATTTGTTGAATAAATTAATCAATCACATAATACATTCTAAAGCCAGACAGAGGTGATTTTTGGATTATTCAGTGCTTTGGAATAATCCATGGAATTCAAGGGATAATAAAACCATAGCATGTCAGAGTTGGAAGAAACCTTAGAGATCATTTAGTGTAAGCACCTCATTTTACAGTGGGAGAAACTGAGGCCCAGAGAGAAGTGATTTTAAGGAAACAACCAGTAACTGACAGAAAGGACCAGAACCCTGGTCTTTGATCAATAAATACCAGAGGCCCAACTATGTCATTGGAAGATGATAAAACTAGGTCCTTAACAGGATAGTGGGAAGGTGTTCTTGGGCAGAAGGAAGTAAAGATAGAAAGTCAAGTGTTTCTAAGAAAGGTAACAAGGTGGACAAAAACTTCCCTCTCCACACCTGCTTCATAACCCTCCCTCCCTACCTTGTCCTCCCTAAATCTCCCAACTACCTCCAACCATCCATAGAGGAAGTCTCTTACCTCTCAGCTGAAGAGCTCATAGAGATCTTGGTTATCTATGTGTTTGGATGGTCACAAAGATTTGGGGAGTCCATTATCTAAGGTCTCCATTTTATTTGGTGTCACACAAAACAATTCTGCACAAGACAAGCTGAATACCCTCTGGCCATTAAGAAGTATCATTCGGGACAGATCAACTTCATGGCTAACTCAATTAGGAACTTACATTTTTTGACCTATTGTAGAGTTTTCCTGAAACAGTAAGTCAACGTCTATATCAAAGTTGCAAGTAGTGATACACCAAGTCATTCCTCCTACTACCTGGAAAACATAAAAAACAAATTAATTTTCCCTGTTCAGTTTTAGTGGAAGGGGTGGGGGTGGGATAAGAGGAGGTCAGAAATATTATTAACTGTTCCTATATAACCCATGTATGGTCTCTGTGTATTTATGTGTAAGTATGAAGAAGATGTGAGTCTTCCCTACTTTAGTTATAATTCATCCAAAACATGGATTAAGATTAGTCATTCAACATATATTTATGGAACTATTACTGGTCACTGAGATAAAAGAGAAGCATTAATCATGGTGCCTGCACTGGAGGAACACATACAGCCCAGGCAAGGAGGTAAGATTTGTTCATAAGAAAAAGGGAAGGGGGGTTAGCTAGGTAGCACAATGGATAGAGCACTGGCTCTGGAGTCAAGAAGACCTGAGTTCAAATCCAGCCTCAGAAACTTGACACTTACTAGCTGTGTGACTCTGGGCAAGTCACTTAACCCCATTGCCTGGCAAAAAAAAAACAAAAACAAAAACAAAAAACAAAAAAAAAGAGGAGAAAAAGGGAAAGAAGAGAAATCAAATGCAAATTGTCTCCATTGTTCATGAAGAAAAGGGGAAAGGACCTATTCGTACAAAAATATTTATAGCGGCTCTTTTTGTAGTGGCTAAGAATTGGAAATCAAAAGGATACCCATCAATTGGGGAATTGCTAAACAAGCTGTGGTGTATGATTGTAATGGAATATTATTGTGCTATAAGAAATGACAAACAGTTGACTCCAAAGTTGGGGATGTGCACTCCCCAGGGTTGGCCACAGCAAAACCCCAAGGGATGTGTGATCAACCAATCAGAGGGTGAGTCAGATGGGCTACATCCTATTCTCTCTATAATAGCCAATCATGGGCTTACCTCCAACAGAACTACAGTACCCCTTTCACCTATTAAATCAACACTCTCCTACTTGGCTCTTCCCAGTGCTGTCTTTTCAAGGCTGTGCCAGGCCATTGGTCCCTCAGGTTGGTTATAACCTAATTGAAATCCAGGAACCTGCAGCAGCTGTTTGAGTGATACTGAACCCCAGCATCCTTATCCCCTGGCCCCAGATGTTTTGTTCCTGTGGCAGGGCTGAGCTCCACATTCTGAAGCAGAGGCCAATGAGTAAAAATTGTTCTTTCTTCTTTTTGTTAGGACAGAATGAAGAATGGATGGATTGTAACCTGTAACACAGATCTCATTACATTATCTTTCTCCAGAAACTACTGAACAAGACTTCCAAATGCCTCTATTACTGCCCATGATTCTGGATAGTCGCTATCTCTTTCTCGGGTTAATTGGCTCATTCTCAGGGTTTACATTCTAAGCATACATGGAGAATAAGGGACAGTAAAATCAGAAGTCTGATTTTTCATCAGAATAAATTATTACCAAAGATGCCCAATTATCATATTTGGCTTTTTGGATCTCCACAAATTCCATACAATGTAATTCAATAACAAAACCTTTTAAGCATCTGTTATGTGTAAACACTGTACTAAGTACCATGTAGATCTGTGTGAATGCCTCAAAAACTTCTTTGAATCTAGAATTAAAGGTCACTCCTAGGCTTGGCTAATTACTATGTTAGGGCCAACCCTAGGCAAAATCATGAAGCAGGTATCTTTGGAAGAAGAAAAGCACCCTGATGAATGAATTCACAGTGTGCTGTTAAGGTGATCCAACCCACGTGATATTTCATATACTTGGGTACTTAAGTGGGAAAGATGTTTTGGGGCAGGATCCCAGAGCCTTTCATATCACATTACCTAAAGTACCAACTACTCCACTTATGTGGGCCTATCTCTACTGCTTGTTTTAAAGCCAGCGTCCAAAAGGTACTCATTTGTCAATCTCCTTTTTCTCTTCCCTCACTTACATGGCTACCCTAGAGAAATTATAACATCCATCAGGATGATACTACTCGGGGCAGCTAGATGATGCAATGGATAGAGCTCTGGCCTTGGAGTCAGGAGGACCTGAGTTCAAATCCAACCTCAGACATTTGACACTTACTAACTGTGTGACCCTGAGCAAGTCACTTAACCCCAATTGACTCACCAAAAAATAAATAAATAAATAAAAAGATGCTATTCAGTCAACACCAGGAAGACATGTGCTTTGGGCTCTCCAAAAGTTGGAATAAATGGCAACAAGTCATCCACACTCTTTAGCCCAATGTTCTTTGTAGCATGTGACAAATGCAGTTTCCCCAAAATCTTGGTGCAGTTTTGAGCTTTACTAGTTTAAAACTGCACTAAGACTTCTGAGACAACCTGTATTTGCCAAATGAGTGGCCAAGGTTAGGAGAAGAATTATTCATATTATTTCTTTGTAGCACTCTCTTGCTCAAACACCTTCAATGGCTGCTGCCTTCAAGATGAAGGCATATAAGACCTGCAAATCTAAACCCAACCTGCCTTTCTAACCTTATCTCTTTACTTTTGTACAAACCCCCTGCTTCAGCCAGACTGATCCCTTCATTACTGCAAGTCTATCCATTTACTATTTACATACATCATGTTATATTCCCCCCAAGAGAATATAAGCTTCGTGAGGGGTGTGACTTTTTTGTTGTATGCCTAGCACTGAGCACAATCCACTGTGTAGAGTGGATAATTAAAATTTGTTCAGATGAAATGCATTTGTGCCATTGTTGACATCTGATACCTCAGAATGAAATGCCTCCCCTTTCTTCTCTGCCCATCTAAGTCCTAGCCAAAGTTTAAAAAGCTCAAGTCTCTCCTCTGTGAAGCCTTCTTTGACAATTCAAAGTGAAAATTATTTCCCCTTTTCCTGAAGTCCTGTAGAATTGTTGCTTAATACTATGTTATCATGTGTATGCCTCAACTAGATTATTATCATATATTTATATATGTTAAATGTAGTATTATATAGTATTATGTAGACGTATTATACTTATTTGGATCCTCCATAGTACTAGAAGGAACTTGCTAAATATGTATTTGTTTACTGGTCAAATGGGGCAGCTAGGTGGTGCAGTGGTGTATTTGGAGTCAGGAAGATTCATCGTCCAGTTCAAATCCAGCCTCAGATACTTATTAGCTGTGTGAACACGGGCAAGTCACTTAACCTATTTGCCTCAGTTTCCTCATCTGTAAAATGATCTGGACAAGGAAATGGCAAACCACTCCCAGTGTCTTTGCCAAGAAAATCCCAAATGGGGTCACCAAGAGTCGAACAAAACTGAAAAATGACTGCACAACAACAAAAACTGATCAAATGCACTTAACTCACATTTACTGAATGCTTTAAGGTACAAAAAACCCACTTTCTCTAGGATGGAAGCAATACCCTAAGGCCCTGCCCCATGCAGGCTAGGCCAGTCTTTCCTTAAAGGGTTCTAAAATTATCTCCAAGGCTTAACTGGCTGACTTCATTTCCTGGTCTCTGAGTACAAAAACAGACAGGACTTAAAGGCACTGGGAGCACTTCTCTCTCAGGATTCTGACTAACACCAGCACAGGAGAGCTGTGTATGCTCAAGCAATATCCTTTTCCCTACTCTGAATGTCCTTCTCTAGCTATGACTAACTAAACCTTCTTTTGTTAACCATTAGATGGTCTACAAGTACCTCATTTCATTTCCATTGCCAGCCTAAGCCAGCAGACTGGCTTGATGGGCTCAGGCTTACAGCATTCTCATAACAACCCTACAAAGAAGGTAGAACTATTGTTATCCTCATTTTATAGGCAGGAAACTGAGGGTCAGAAAGGTTAAATAACTTTTCTAGGATCATAAAGCTAGCATTAGAGCCAGAACTCAAACCCATATCTTTTGACACTAAAAGGGGAGGGGGGAGGGAGATTTCCACTCTATCACACTGTCTCTCAATAGTCATACACACTGGAAAACTGATTTTCTGGCTCTTGACCACTTTCCCTTTCAGAGACATAAGCTTATATTCTGGGTCCCTAGACAAAATGTTATGAAAGGTCCTGTAAACAAATGATCCTAGCTAGGAGGGAGAGCACCTCTTATGGCTGGACCCCAGAGGAGCCACATGGAAGTTTTCTTCATTTAACTCTTTGATTTCAAATGAGATTGTACCTTGAACTCTGGATGCTGGGACGGATTTAGAACTGGAAGAGACCTTAGAGGTCATCTAATCTGACAAATTTTACAGATGAGGAAGCTGAGATCCAGAAAGGAAAAGTGACTTACCCAAAGTCACATAGCTAGTAAGTGGACTGCAGGTATCTCAAGACATGTATGTTGGGTCTTTTCCTGAAGCAGCATCATAGCTGAGCGTATGGTACAATTAGGCCCAGAGGTTAGTTAGACCAAAGTGGGACAGATTAGCCCCAAAAGCCACGCTGGCCATAACCAGTTCTGGTAAATTGAAGGTACTTTACTTAAGGAAAAATTTATGTACTTTGAAACCACAATTCTGTACTACGTGAAACTGTTTCATGTTATCTTCTTTAGTTCTTAATAAAGCTCTCGAAACTAAGGAAGGAAGAGGGAGGGGGGAGAAAAAGACAGGGGAAATGTGAGGTGGGGGAAAGGGGAAAATTAAAACCTGTCTCAGCTCTACTCAATCCTATAGTCCAGAACAGAGACCCAGCTCAGTTTGAGATTAAAAAGAAAATGAAGGCAGTGCTGGTTTGAGGGTAAAGACCATAAGAACAAGTCCCTTCCTACTGGCAGTTGTTTCTTTATAAACCCTTTTGGCCAAATTAGATTTACCTTAATTGGACTTACCTTAATTATATACTATTTTTATTGGATGATTCCCTTACCTTATAGGGACAAATTAAGTGATGGCTATAGCCATATTTTAATAATATAACTAGGACAGTTACACAAACACCTCATATTTAGTAAACTCTTGATAAATATTTTTTGAAAGGTAGTCCAAGAAAGGAGGAAAGGAAAGGAAGAAAAAACAGAAATGTTGAGTTAAATCCTTTACAAGTCTACTGTATAGCTTAAGTTGGGAAACACTGGACTAGACAACGATTAAGATCTCTTCCAGGTCTAAACAGTCTCCTGATTTATCCTGTGCCTCTCCAACTTGATCAATCTACCAGGACTTGTGATTCTTTGTATATTTCACAGTGCCAGGCACTACTATGAAAGTAGAAGCAGCTCAGTAAATATTTCTGAATGGTGTTACATAGAGAAAATGGACAATCTGAACACTTCTCTAACAACTGAGGGTTGGTGGGTGCTGGAGGACAGGGGCAGAGGGGCAGTCAGAAAACAGAGAAACAATGCTTTTCTATTGTGTCAACTACACTAGTCCGACACAAAGGATTTTCTTCTTACCTTGTCAAAGGGTGACAAGCCTTTAATTCTCGCCCTGAAATATCCAGCTGCAACCAAGAGCTCCAAAATTTCTGCCAACTTGATGTTTTGTTCTTCATCTTCTCTTGTTTCCACCTAAAGGAAGCCAAAAAAAAAAAAAAAGTCAGATGGATGGTTTATTTTCATTTGATGTCAAGGTTTGACTAACAAGAAGATAATGACATAAATACACTACTTTTCAGTGAACTCTTGTTGATAATTAACTCAATGACTACTTACTGAGTCCCTACTGTATACATAGCACTCTGGTAGACCTTCAGTATAAGAAATACAATGGGAGACCTATCTACCTGTCCACAAGGAACTTAAAATTTAAACAGCTGGAGCAACAAGACAGATATGCAGCAATTACAAAATAATTCCAAGGAAACACACAGATTATAGATCTAAGCACTGAGGGAATTCAGAACAAGAGAAAGCTCATTATGGAGTATGGTTGGTCAGGAATGATTTCTTAAAAGAGGCAAATTTTAATTTTGTAATATTTCTTTTTATTCCTAACCCTACAGGACCCTAGCTAGAACTCTGATTACTTCATATTTAAGTTATTGCAACAGCTTCCTAACTAGTAACCCTGATTTCAAGTTCTCCCCCAACCAATCTACCCTATTCTGAAAACTGCTCTTCCTAAATTACCACTTCATTACTCCCTATTCAAAAAACACTGGGCTTTGAAGGAACAGCTAACTCTCAATTTTTGAGAGACTATGGAGACCAAGGGAATTCCCCATTCAACCAGCCAGCTTGGTTGGTCCCAAGAGAGTTGAGAACCAGAATTGTATCTAAATATGTCTATGACAGTATTTCTCTCTGTATTTCTAAGGCAAATATAAAAGGTATATTTTGCTTTCAGGCAATATGACATGTGAAAATGTAAATTTAAACAATAAACTCATTCACTAACCAAAAAACATCCACACTATGTGTGAGGCATAGTGCCAGACAGTGGAAGAGATACAAATACTCAATTCTATAAACACTCATTAAGTAACTCCTATGTTCATGGCACCACATCAAGAAATGAACTTTGTGGTGACATTCTAAGTCTCAGGAATTGGAGAAGAATAAGGAATCAAAGAATGAAAAGGTCAGAGAGACATGAACACAATGATGGATGTTATGTGGTTCATGTCCTCAAATCCACTAGATAATCTTTTACTGTTTTTATTAACTGTCTCTCTTTTCTCTCTCCAATACAACTAAAAAAAAAAAAAGATTAAATCTAGCACCCATACATCCACTCACTTTTGGATTCTCCCCTTTCTCTCCACATCCAACAGGTCACCAACACATTTTTCATTATTCCTTTGTAATATTCCTTTACATTCCTACCCCTACAGGACCCTAGATGGAACTCTAATTACTTCATATTTAAATTATCGCACCAGTCTCCTAACTAGTGTCCCTGACTCCCAAGTCCTCCCCTAAACAATCTACCCTTTTCTGAAAATTGCTCTTCCTAAATTGTCACTTTATTACTCTCTATTCAAAAATTTCTGATGGTTCCCTACTGCCTGTGGAATAAGATTCAACTATGTTATAGCGGAAAGTATGTAAGATATGGGTGTAAATCTCAGCTCTGACATTACTTAACCTACCTGAGCTTCATTTTCCTCATATATAAAATGGGAATAATATGTGTACCGAGGAAGCTGTTTTGTAAATCTCTGAATACTGTATAATTGAGTCATTATCTCCTCTTATTCTTCCATCAGAATCCTTTGTGCCAGCCAAACTGTCTTACCTCATTCCTGAGTCCATACTTTTGCTCACACTGACTCTGCTCAGTCTGGAACACGCTTCCCTGTCTGCTTTGATTAAAAGACATCAATCCTTTAAGGCTCAGCTCAAATATCCCTTTTCAATGAGGCTTTCCCTTATCACTCCAATTCAGTGATCTCTCCCTAGTCTGAGACTCTCAAACATAGCAGTTACTGTCTTTACCTCATTTAAGCCTTGACTGACTCTCCAGATTTCCCCTCCTCCTCACTCTTTCACCCCTGCCTTCCTACCCAGGAGAAATCTCCACTCTTGAGGCCCCATTCTCCTGCTTGTTCACCAGAAACATTAGGAAGGGCCCCTACCATGCTTCATCTCACTAACAAGTGGACTCTAGCTGTAGTAGACTAAATATAGACAGAGGTCACTGCTGAAAGCAACAGTTATTCAGGTCTAGAGCAGTAGTGTCAAACTCAAATAGAAACTCCCTGCCTACAGCATACTGACTTAGAAAACAACATATTAACATTATTTATATTCTCCTGGGGGGGCAGCTAGGTGGCTCAGTAGATAGAGTACCTGGCCTAGAGTCAGGAAGACATCTTCCTGAGTTCAAATCCAGCCTCAAACACATACTAGTTGTGTGACCCTGAGCAAGTCACTTAACCCTGTTTGCCTCAGTTTCCTCATTTGTAAAATGAGCTGGAGAAAGAAGTGGCAAAGCACTCCAGTATCTCTGCCAAGAAAATTCTAAATGAGGTCACAAAGAATTGGATACAACTGAAAAATGAATGAAAAACATAGTCTACTGTATTTTTATTTATTTTGCTAAATACTTCCCAATTACATTTTAATCTGGTCCAGGCAACACTAAAGAATGTTGAAGATGCAATGACTGTATGGCTTGATGCCTTTGCTACAGAGGGATGCAATCATCAAGCTATACGAAAGAAGGTTATCAAAGAAATGGGAAGGAAGGGGAAATCACAGAACTCATTACCAAAAAAAAAAAAAAGGATGCTTAAGAAAATATCATTAGCTAATGATCTATGTGGCTGTTTTCTCTTCTCTACAAAATCTTTTATGAGAAAAATCTGTATTTCTCTCATCTACATACTGAAAGCATCTTTGATGATGATATGAGAAGTCAGACTGTGACAAACAATATGCTAAACTAGGCCACATCATTACAATCGAAAAATTGATTGTACAACAGGTACAGAGAATGTACGATCTCACTTTGCTTATGGTTTGTTGACAATGTCACCTTAAAGATTTTTCTCCAAAAAGTTATCTCTCATGCACACAGTAAAAATCACACAAGATTCTCACTTTTTTTGATGCCTCTTTGATATAAATATCCATTAAGGCCTAAAGCAAGAATCATAGGATCACAGATTTAGAGCTGGAAGGGATCTTATAGGCCATGCAGTCCATCACCTCCATTTTTGAGATGACAAAAATTGAGGATGAGAGAAGAGTCACACAGAGGAGAGCCAGGATTCAAGTTCATGCCCTCAAACTCTAAACTCACCTTAACATGCTGTCTTGGCAAAGACATATATACTAGGAAAAGGCATTTGTCACTGACATGATGGACAGCCAGTGCAGAGTTAAAGTCAGGAGGGATTCCCTCTAATTGGTAATATCTGGCAGATGCAAGGGTCTACAGACAGTACTAACGCCTGGGTCCATGCAAAGTCTCCAGAATGAGACCTATAATCACTCAGAAGAGCTTAGCCTAACTCTCTGCATAGGAAACACAAAGTAGATGAAGAATGTCTACTGTCCATAGTCTGAGACGCAGCTGGATGGACAACCAATAGATCTGGTTCATCAATGTCTTGGAAACAAACTGAATAAGAGCAAGTGAGTAAGCTGGACCGAATTTTAGAAATTATGCAATGTTTTTAATGGCCCCTCCCCACCAGCTTCTCCCTAAAACAAAAACCTATCTTTTTTTAATACAAGTATTCTTCCAGAGATGCTTTAGGACTGTAAAATATGGGATACCAGTTTTCAAAGATTTAAAGTTTTAGGTCACCCAGGCACAAACGGGTTGCAGCATATTACCAAAGGAGAACTGTACAAGAGAAGGGGCAGAAAAGATATTATCAGAAAAATGTATGACAGGAAAAGAAGGTGACCCTGTCAGGTAGTGAAAATAAGGGATAACCAATGGACAGTCTGTGTTTTATTGGGACCCATACAAAAATATACAAAAAAGAGTTTTTTTTACAAGATGAGAAGGCATGGATGATTTGCAATCTATACTGTTAAAGGAGAAATCACTGAGAGCTGGAAAGGATTTTAGAGGTTTTCTACCCCACCCTCATTTTACAGATAAGGCACAGGTGCAGTAAGAGAAAATGACTTGTCCAAAAACAAAATCACTGATACATGGGAGTATCAAAATGACTTTACATTCCTCCAGCATACAAGCAGAGTGGCAGACCAGAAATAGATTAAACATTTAGAATGAATACTTAATTGAAATGAAAATTGAGGACATTTTTACTGACCGTCCTTCATTCCTGGAATTTTCTCCTTCTCCTCTCTGCCTCCTGCCTTCCTCCAAGTCCCAACTAAAATCCTGCTTTCTCCAAGAAGACTTTCTTTCTGTTGCTTATCTCTGAGTTATCCTTTGCTTGCATACAGTTGTTTGCCTGTTGGCTCTCTCTCTAGACTGTGAACTCCTTCAGAGCAGGGACTATTTTGTAACTTTCTTCCTATCACTAGTACTTAGCACACAGTATGTACTACATAAATATTAGTTACTATTATTATCATTTATATCCTGGCACTTACCACAGTACCTGGCACATAGTAGGCAATTAATAAATGCTTTTTGACTGACAACTCAAAGAACAATATTTCTCCCCCAACACCACCAACACCACCTTCAAGATGAGGAGGAAAAGCATATGTCATTGTGTTTATGCCAGGTCTCTTAATAAACTGGCTTTGCTTCCAAACATATTGACTAAATCTAAGGCCCTCATCATCTTAGGCCTGGACTATTGAAATAGACTGCTTGCTGGTTGGTCTCCCTGCCCCAAATCTCTTCCCACTTCAGTACATTCAACACTCAGCTGTCAAAGTAATCTTCCTAAAGCACAAGTCTGACCACGTCATCTCCCCCACCGCTGCCTCCCAACACACCGGTCACTCGTCGTCACTCAATAAACTCACGTGGCTATCACCTCCATGATTGATTACAAAATCTCGGTGGTCAAAGCCCTCCATAAATTGGCAACCCCACCTTCAAGTACCCTTCACTTCAGTGACACTGGCCTCCTTCATGTCTCAGATGTTTTCACGGGCTGTCCCCTATGCCTGGAATGCTCTTCCTCCTCATCTCCACTTCCTAGCTTTCCTGGCTTCCTATAAATCCCAACTAAAATCCCACCTTCTACAAAAAGCCTGTCCTGATCCTCCATAATTCTAGTGCCTTCTTTCCATTGATTACTACCAATTTACATAGTTTTGCATAGCTTGTCTGCGTGTTGTTTTCCCCATTAAACTGTGAGCTCACTGAGAGCAAGGACTGTCTTTTGCCTTTCTTTGTATCCCCAGCTCTTAGCCTGGCACTTAAATGTTTATTGATTTACTGGTTGACTAAAGGCACTAAGTAAAGTCTGCTTTTTCTCAATGTCAACTTGCAACAGGAAACTTACTAGAACAGACACTTAGCTCCTTTGCTATCAACATCCTCTCCAAGAGAAAGTCCTGTGTCAACAATGCTGATGACTCCAAAATCTAGGAATAAAACGTCCATTAACGAAACTCCTGCCCCTCCCGCCTCCCAGATTACCCCCAATACTTTTCAGCATGCTCCTGACCCACGTCCCAATCTCTCTGCGCACACGATGCCTGGCACACGGAGGACAGGCACCCCAGGCGCCTTCTATGAACACACTAGGACAGATGTGAAGCCGATCTCCCCACCTGGCCACAAGCACGAGCAGGAAATCTGGGTATTTCTTATCTACTAAGGGGAAGGACAGGCTGACACACCCCCTCGCCAGACAGAGGCGGCGGGAGCGGAGCAGAAGGAGCAGCGATCCGGCAAGGTCACCCCTTGCACAATCATTAAGCCCAAACCACCCACAGGAGTAACTGGCAAGTCTCGTGATCGCAAATAAAGGGAAGGAGCCTCGGGTCCTCGGGTCCTCGGAGTACACAGGCGGGCAGGCTGGGAGAAGGGCAGGAAGGTAGGGCTCCTGCACTTCTCACAGGCGTGACAGCGGTCAGGGCTGGCCCCGGGCTGCCCTGGGCACCCAGCGGAGCCCAGAGCCCGCCCCGGACCATTCCCGGGGCCCGGGGGACCCGAGGCTTAGAGAAACCCGGAGGCGGGGTGACCAGGAGGGGAGGGGGGCCAGGACGCCCGCCTCTCCCGCTTGTCTCGCCCGCCCCCACCCCAACGCCCCCTCCCCCGCTCGCAGACTCACCTGGGCACGGGGGCGCGTGCAAGCCGAGCCCCCTCCCCCCAAACCCTCTCCGGGGCACGCCCAGGAAGCCCCGTTCCCGCACGGTTCCTAGCAGGAGGGGAACGCATTCCGTACCTCTTGAGGAGCCTGGGGCTCCTGCCCCCGGGGGGGCTCCATGACCCACCCACCCAGGTCCCGGGCAGGCAGCTGCAGCAGAGCCGAGGCGGGGAACCACCAGAGGAAGTCGTCTCTTGTTCCGAGCTGCTACCGGGGTGGAGTGCAAAGAGAAAACTTCCTCCGCCTCCTGCCAAACCTCCTCGCAGCCGGCCCGGCCTGCGCATGCGCGCTGGCGCCAGGCCCCCGCCTGGCCCGGGAGCACGCGCTCTGTTCCGGGTCTCTGAGGCTGCCGGGAAGGAGCCGCGAGCCGCCAGCGTCAAGTTCAGATTCCAGAAGAGGCGGCGGCACCGGCTCGCAAGGGTTTGTTAGAGTGGGTCAGTTTCAAGAGAGGAACTGTCTGGAAAATAAGCTCCCTCCCTCCGGCACCTTTGCAAAAGAAGACTACATTTTGACTTGCCAATAAAGCATTTTTGATGGGAGGGGGATGGAATAAAGAAGGCTAGGTTTGCAGTGCCGGCTGTAATAGTGACTGTGTAATTCTGGACGTGCACTAGACTTTGATGCTAGAAGCTTGGTGCAATGGAAAGTGTTGGCATTGGAGTCAGGGGAACGGAGTTCTAATTCTAATTTCGCCACTCACTAGCTATGTGAGTGGACAAATCACTTAACTTCTCTGGGCCTCAGTTTCCTTGTCTGTAAAATTAAGAGGTTGGACCCAATAGCTTCCAATTTAGAGAACCTTCTGGTTCTAAATCGATGCCCATCTAGCTAGCTCTGTCCCCTTTTTACAAATGTTAAGAAAAAAGGTCCCGAGGTGTAGGCCAAAGGTTGCACCAAACGTGTAGAGGCTTCTAACTCCAAATCTAGTGTTCTTACCAAGCGAGACTGTCCTGAGCCTTGGTTTCTTCATCTGTAAAATGAAAATAATAATTCTTGTACCATTTGCCTAAAGGGATTGTGAGGAAAACATCTTGTGAACGTTAAAATGCTAGAGAATAGCTTGCTACTATCATCTCATTCCCATTTTTGCCACATGAGTACGGGAAACCAGAAAAATTGGCATCACATATATTTAGGATGTTTTGTCCAGTTTATATTTATACTATGTATTGTTGGGTTACAAGTTGACATGTAGATAAATGGATAGATCTTTAGTCTCCAGATTGAGAGTCCAGTCTCTAAAAGAACATCAGTTAATGACTGTGTCAATTTTTCCATCCCCTGTGCCTTTTGGCATGAAACCATGTATGTATCTGTCTTTATGGCAGAGGGATGCTAAGAGGTGAAATACATTCTATCTGTTCTTGTCAGGAACAGCCTGGATGTCAAGAAAGAGATTGTTCAGAGCAGCCCTCCCATTTCATTTGCTCCTTTCACTTCTTTATACTTAGCTCCTTGTGCCCAAGCTGGAGCTAAGATCGTAAGAAGTGAATTCTTCTTTCCTCCAAGGTTTTGGGAGTCTTGGAAGTCTTAGGAGTTTAGAGCTGGAAGGGAAATTAGATTTCTCATCTGTAAAATAAGAGGATTGACTTATAACTAGAGAAATGCGAATTAAAGCAACTCTGAGGTTCCACTTCACACCCATCAGATTGGCAAAGTTGGTAAAAAAGGAAAATGACAAAAGTTAGAGTGGCTGTGGGAAAAGAGATACATTAATGCAGTATGATGAAGCTGTGAATTGGTCCAGCCATTCTGAAAAGCAATTTGGAACTATGGCCCCAAAAGTCACTATATTGTGCATACCCTTACACCCAGTAATACCATTGTCATTGTTCAGTTGTGTCCATATGGGCCATACATATGAATTATAGCACTCCAGGCCCTTCTGTCCTCCACTATCTCTTAAAGTCTGTCCAAGTTCATATTTGTTGTTTCCATGACACTATCTATCCGTCTCATCCTTCGCTGTCCCCTTTTCCTTTTGCTTTCAATCTTTCCCAGTGTCAGGATCTTTTCCAATGAGCCCCATCTTCTCATTATGTGGCCAGAGTATTTAAGCTTCAGCTTCAGTATTTGACCTTCCAGTGAACAGCCTGAATTAATTTCTTTAAGTATTGACTGATTTGATCTCCTTGCGGTCCAAGGGACTCTCAAAAGTCTTCTTCAGCACCACAGTTTGAAAGCATAGATTCTGTGGTGCTCAACTTTCCTTATAGTCCAATCCTCACAGTGAGTGATATGTTGCTACTGGAAAAACTATAACTTTGACTATTCAGACCTTTGTTGGTGAGGTGATATCTCTGCTTTTTAGTGTACTATCCAGATATGCAATAACATTACTTGGCCTGTACTCCAAAGAGATCAAAGAAAGAGAAAAAGGACACATACGTACAAAATATATATAGCAGCTCTTTTTATAATGGCAAAGAACTGGAAACTAAGGAGGGGCCCATTACTTAGGGAGTAGCTGAACAAATTATGGTATATGAATGTGATGGAATATTATTGTACCACTAGATATAATGAAAGGGATAGTTTCAGAGAAATCTGGGAAGACATGAGCTAATGCAGAATGAAATAAGCAAAATCAGGATATTTATACAATAACAAGAACATTGGAAAGTCAAGCAATTTTAAAAGACTTAAGAACTCTGATCAAGGAAATGACTACCTATGATGCTACAAGACTGATTGTGAAACATGCTACCCAACTGAAAGAGAACTGAGGTACACAAGATGAAGAATGAGTCATGTTTTTGGACTTGGCCTGTATGGAAATTTTCTTGACTATTCATATTTGTTACAAAGTTTTTGTTTTTCTTATTTTTTCAATATGAGTGGTGTGGAAAAGAGGAAATAACAACTACTTGTTAATTGTAAAAAAAAAAATCTTCAAAATAAATAAAATAAGGAGTTTGGACCTAGAATCACCTAGTCCAACCATCTAATTTGACAGATTCAGAAAATGAGACCCAAAAAGATAAAATTATTTGTTCAGTTCCAGAGTCACAGAGCTGTAAGATTTTAGAACTGGAAGGGTCTTTAGTGATCACCTAGTTCAACCTTCCTGTTTTACAAATTAAGTCTACTGAAGTCCTATGAGTCTGAGCAAGTTAGTGGCACAGGCTGTATTAGAACCCATTTGATTCCCAGTTCAATACCCTTTCTACTGCACCACATTGCCATCCATTATAAATATTGACGGGATACCTTTAATCAAGAAATCAAGAAGCAATTATTAAGAACCTGCTGTGTGTCAGGGAACACAATGTGCTTGGTTCTAGATGTCCAGATATATGTCTGAAAGTGCAAACCCTCTACATATAACCTTGACTTTATCCCTTGCCATTTTCTCCTGCAGATAACTCTCCACTATCATCCTTACTCTCTAATCTTCAATCTCTCCCTGTCTCCTTCCCTGCTGTTTACAAACAGTATCATGTCTCCTTCATCCTTAAAAAAACCCTCATGTATTCAATGAAATAGAAGACTTTCAAGCATTCTTGATGAAAAGACCAGAATGGGAAGATGATACTTGTAAATCATAAGACCTTTCTCATTGTTAAGGTAGTTAGAAGGAGTATATGTAGACAGAGGGCACAGGTGTGAGTTGAATGTGAAGGGATGGTATCTAAAAACTAAAATTAAAGGGTGAGAGAGAAATGTACTGGGAGAAATAGAAAGGGAAAGGTAGAAGGGGATAAATTATCTTGTCTAAAAGAGGCAAGAAAAAGCTTTTACAGTGGAGGGGAAAAGGGGGGAGTTGAGGGGAAGTGAGTAAATCTCACTCTCCTCAGAATTGGCTCAAAGAGGGAATAACATACACACTCAATTGGGTATAGAAATCTATCTTACCTACAGGAAAGTAGGAGGGGAAGGGAATAAGAGAAGGGGTAGTCAGAAGCAAAACATTTTTGAGGAGGGGAAAGTGAAAGGAGAGAGAGAATAGAATAAATGGGGGGATAGGATGGAGGGAAATATAGTTAGCCATAACTGTGAAAAAAATTATAAAAATAATAAAAGCTTCATTTCTTAAACATATAGAAAACTGAGTCAAATTCATAACAATAAGGGACATTCCCCAATTGATAAATGATCAAAATATATGATCATTTTTCTGATGAAGTAATTAAAGCTATCTATAGCCATATGAAAAAAATATTCTAGCACACTATTAATTGGAGAAATGCAAATTAAAACAATTCTGAGGTACTACCTCATACCTATTAGATTGGCTAATAGGACAGAAAAGGCAAATGACAAATGTTGGAGGGGATGTGGGAAAAATGAGACATTAATACACTGTTGGTGGAGTTGTAAACTGATTCAACCATTCTGTAGAGCAATTTGGAACTATGCCCAAAGGGCATATAGCCAAAAGGCTATAAAACCATTCATCTCTTTGATCTAGCAATACTAATACTAGGTCTGTGTCCTAAAAGAGATTTTAAAAAAAAAGGAAAAGGACCTGTATGTACAAAAATATTTACGGCAGCTCTTTTCTGGGGGCAAAGAATTAGAAATTGAGGGGATGCCCATCAATTGCAGAACAGCTGAATGAGTTGTTCAGTGAATCAGATGATTATGATGGAATAATAAATGATGAACAGGATGTTCTCAGAAACACCTGGAAAGACTTGCACGGGCTGATACAAAGTGAAATGTACTGTGTACAAAGTAACAGCAATATTGTGAAATGATCAGCTGTAAATGACTTAGCTATTTTCAGCAATACAACAATCCAAGACAACTCTGAAGGACTTATGATGAAAAATGCTATCATTCCCAGAAAAAGAACTGATAGTGTCTGAATTATAGATTGAAGCATACTTTTAAAAATTGTCTTTATTTTTCTTAAATTTTTTTGTCTGTTTTCTTTCACAAAATGATTATTATCAAAATGTTTTGTATGACTAAACACATATGACCTATATCGAATTGCTTGCCTTCTCAACGAGTTTGGGGGGTGGGGAGGAAGGAAGGGAAAGAATTTGGAACTCAAAATTTTAAAAATGAATGTTAAAAATTGTTTTTACATGTAACTGGGGAAAAATAAAATACTAAATCAAAAACAAAATTAAATTAAAAAAACCCTCATGTGATCCTACTAGCTATTGTACCGTATCTCTCTTCCCCCTCCTGGCTAAATTTGAGAAAGCTATCTACAATTGAGTCTTCTACTTAGTCTCCTCTCGCTTCTGAATCTTTTGCAATTTG